CGAGCGAGAAGTGGCGAATCGATGACGGCTAATAGGTGGTATCAGGTGGCAACTTCTCGCTCTAATTCCGCTATATTGACTGCCTTAAGTGAAACAGTGTTACTTCTTTTACAATTCTTTGCCTAATAGTTGAATTTTTTTTTATTTTTTCTCAGTATACACATTTTGTTTTCTCAAAAATGTATTTTACTTTATTTTATTTTATTTCATTTCATTACGAATATACTATAAAAAAGCAAATTTTGTTTAGAAGAAAATATTAAATTTAATATTTTTCCCTCAAATAGGGATTCATTTCTTCCCGTTTTTCTTCTTATTCTACTGAGCTAAGGCAGTGTCAAATCGAGCTGTCACAACTGATACCACCTTGTATTATTGCATCATGCATAAAATGGGAGAACTTTTAAGGGCCGGTTGCTAAATGTCTGGTTATCACTACTTGCCGGATAAACATCATTATCGACGTTATCGACATCATACTTATAACATATTATGGATAAAGGAGTCGTTGCATTTAAGCAGAGCTATCTCCGATTAGTGCTAATCAGACATTGAACAACTGGCCCTAACACTTTCCCACAGGGTGGTTATTTGTAAATAGAATTTTAAGTGTTGCCAGTAGAACTCATATACATACTGTGCACACTTGCATTGGGAAAGCGCAAACTTTTTTCTCGAACGAAAACAAAACTTTATTCAAGCTAAACATATAATATGCATAGATATAGTGCTCGACATAATGATATGGTTCACCCTATATTGATAAGTTTTGACCATTTATTTTGTATTATTTATTTTAATTATTTTTTTTATGACAACATAACTCATTCTATATCAAAGACCCTATAAATTTCATTTCAAACTTTTGTACAAAAATAAAGTCAACAAAGATTGATTAAAATTTTACACATTTCCACAATTTTTATAAACAAAAAATGGCAAAAATCAACGATATTTTGTAGCCAGTTCGAAATTCCACTTTATTATACTGCTAGAATTGAATGGGCTATAAAACTTTTCTTAAAGCTCTGGCTAAAAAGTGTGAAATTTTAGTGAAACCTTGTTGTTTTTTTAAGTTCTGTACAAAATTTGAAGATTTGGATTTATATGGTTTTTATTATAGAATGAACTATATTTTTATAAGGAATTACTAAAATTTAATATAAAAACCTAAATAAATAGTCAACACTTACAAATACACCGCACGTTTTATAATATAGCGAAGTATTTCAAAATAAAAATTTTTTGGGAAAGACATATATCTTCGCCATATTTGTGAAGTTTGATTATCTGTTAGACTGAACATATTCTACTTATCAACCTTATTAAGTGCATAATTAAATCTCCAAAAACGTAAGATTTGAGTTACATCTCTATATTATTAAACGAGAGACATGGCGACCTTATCCTTATGTTGCGCACTATGTATAAAAGTGAGACTTTGTTTAATCCCAACAAGCAAAATAAACTTAGAGTAGGTTTTTTAAACAACGATTATTCTTGACTTATAAAACGCTTAAAAAAGGCGTAATGTAATCGAAACGGAACCTTATTTATAAGCGTATGAATATAAATTTATAAGTTTTAAAAGGAAAGTATTTTTTCTTGGTTTTATCGTAAATACTAGCATTTTACTTTTAAAGTCAAGTGATTTATAAATATTCGGTGTCAACGCAAGGCTAAATTGAAAAACTTTAAATAAACTTAATACTAAAAACACGTATTTAATATAGCACGCTTACTTTAAGTTACTTTTCAAAACACTTAAGGTACAATTCTGTACTTTCAGCTACATAATTCAGCCATTGCTGAAAGTCTGAATAGCTTGTTGTGGAGATGTACTCTTACAGAAGTGCTTGTTAGGATTCTATTAAAATTTCATTAAAAAATTAACTTAGCATTATTTCTAATTCATTTACAGTTCACTTTTAGTTTTAACGCATTCAATTTTGTTGCAAGTATGGCAACTCTTGTAATTTATACTTATATGGACATCTCTGTTTTACTTGTGGCTAGCAGGGC